GTGTGTGTGTGTGTGTGTGTGTGTGTAAATAAAGCACACATTCCATTCCAATTCAATTCTATCATTAATATTCATTAAAATCTTAACATCTTTAATATTTCTTTTCAATTAAATATCATACTTCCTTGGGAACACTTATAAACTTTCCATAGTTAATTCTTTTTTTCCTATATTTCTCACTTATATTTTTATAAATCATTACTAATAATTAAAAATGTTCCCATTTAATTCTCTCAATCATTTTAATTCATTTATTTATTACCAAACATTCAACTACATTACAGTAAATATTTTGTCCATCATTTTAATCACATTTTCTAAAATTATTTCTGTTTATAATATAACAATGCTATCTTATGTACCTTTGCAGAATCCCTTTTGCAATTAAATTTTCACCCATTATCTCTAAACAAGCTTATGGTTACAATCCTTATATCTTTTCCCTGTTTCTCCATTTCTTGTTTCTGTCTTTTACAACTTCTTTTCCTTGCCTTCTTCCCCCTCTTTTTCTCCCTCCCCTTTTCACCCCCTCGTCTCTCTACTTCTAACTCTCTCATCTGTAATCCCCTCTTCTGTTGCTTTCTAATATTATACTTATCTTTCAAATTCTTCTTCTTCTTTTTGGTTGTTTTTTCTAGTCTTAAACCTTTCACTCTCTTTCCCCTCTTTACCTTTTTCCCCCCACTTAAAATTATTTGATCATTAAAGATGGCTTCTTCTTTGTCCCAATCTTCTTGTTCTGCAAGCGTTTCTTGTTGTTTCTCATAGTTCCAGATCTCCATTTCTAAGAATTGAAATATGAAGCCAAAAGAACCTCTCCCTTCTTGTGCATCTTCTTTCCATTTTTTAAGTTCCATTTTCAGTTCTTCTAAGAGTGATACCATTTTAAAGACTTTTAAACAACCACCCGGTTAATTTTAGTCATCCAGAGGCAAAAACCAAAAACCACCAAGTAATCCGAATAATCCAAGGCTGTTTCTTTCTGCTTCTTTTTTCCACTTTCTCTTCCTGGGGTTCTATTATTTTGTTACCAAGTTTCAATTAAGATGTATCTTTGAGGAATCTTGTTGAAATTTCACTGTAAGTTCCTTTTAGTTACAGTTCCATTCCTTAGTTCCAGGCAGTCTCCTCCATTTTTCCAGATCCTGCCCTTTTATTATTATTTTTTTCTCCTTTCCTGCTTTTAAAAACTTTTAAATATCCAGAAATCTTTATTATCCCTTTGACTTTTATTTTCAGCTTAGATGCCTATTAATGTCAAAGTGGATTTTTTTTCAATTTCTTGCTTAAGTCTCTTAGCTGTCAGTATAAGGAAGGGAAGAAAAAAAAAACCTAATCCTTTCCCTTCTCTCTCTCCTTCGCAGCTTCAAAATCTTCTTTGGGAACAATGTTATTAAATTTAAATTCCAGGGTACCTTATTTGTTGCTTTTGCTGTTTGACCCGGTCAACCAAAACTTTATCTTCTTATCTTCCTCCTGCACATTCTTTTCCAGTCGAGTTCTTCTTTGTGGTAGCCATTTCTGACCACCGCTGCAACCGCCTTTGGGAAAGGGAGTAATGGCCAGCTGGGGAGGAGAGATGCGGCTCTCCTCAACCCTGTAGGCAGTCTTCTTCACCACCTCTACGGGGTGGCTTAGCCCTGAAACCAGCCGGCTCGGGGCGCTCCAGTGGCGAGCACGGATCGAAGCCTCACAGAGACGAGGTTTCGATCTGTCGCCGAAGAAGCTCAAACCGTAAGCCCACACTTCTGAACAAGATTTTATGGTCTCCTCACCACTCTCCCTCCCACTCCTTCTCTCCCTCTCACTCCCTGTCTCTCTCTCCCACCCTCTATTTCTCCTTTAGATATTTTTATCCACCTTTATTATTTCCATAGATAATTCAAGGTGGCTAACATACCTAATACTCTTTCCTCCTCCTATTTTCCCCACAATAACTTCATTCTGATCCTTAGCAGTTTATCAAGGCGTGGACACAGAATTAGAGGCCTGCTTGAATGCAGATTAACTTTTTTCCTAGTCTGCTGCTTGTGACAAAGTCAAACAAATAACATTAGATTAAGTAATGGGGAATTTATAAAGCTCCATTGTTTAGAACAGTGGAAGCTCAAATTGGAAAACAAGTTCTGGTCATGCAAAAACGTTGAACAGTTTAGTTTGGAGAAGGACATATATGTAATCGTTTCGTACCTGTACCGTACAAGTGTGTAGGGGAGAAAGGCCATCGAATCCAGATTGCCAAGTGACACTGGCATTGTTGCTGGTGATCTTAGTGACTGTCACATTGAGAGGTGGAAAAGGAATTGCTGAAACAGAAGGAAGATTTTTAACATATGCAAAACTGAGCGGTTATTTACATAGAAATGTGCAAGTGCTACAGTCTGGGGAATTTGGACAAGATCCCTGAGAGGTGCTAATTGAGCTATGAATGAACAGAGGTAGCCTGCTCATGACATTATAAATCCTGATTAACACTGCATATCTTTTTTTCCGAGTTGATGGTTAAACAGACAGAGAAAATAAGGAACATTTGTTGCTTTCAAAAACATTCTGTTATGGAATCTGAGAGTCAAGTGTTACTAGCAGGGGTAGGATTCAAAATTTTTAACAACCGGTTCTGTGGGCATGGCTTAGCTGGTGGGTGTGGCTTGGTGGTCATGTGACTGGGTGGACATGGCTTTGTGGTCATGTTATTGGCTGGGTGCGGCCAACTCAATATCACTCACATCGAGGCACGCATCTCTCGCCTGGCCTCTCATGACTTTGGGGATGCTGCTACAGTTGTAAATGTGAAAAATGGTCATAAGTCACTTTTTCAGTGCCATTGTAACTTTAAATGGTCACTCCACACAAGCAAAGTACCCACAAAGGAGGGGGAAAAAGCTCCAAAGATGTTCCTGAGACAGGAAGTCTAGCCTTGCCAAGAATGTAATAAGGATTAACGGAGAGGCAGTTTCTGTAAGCAACACCAGAATGTTTCCTTCCTGCCTTCCTTACAGGATTAAGCCAGTAATTTCTTCTAACAACGGTTCTCCAAACTGCTTAGAATGTTAACATCTGGTTCTAGCGAATAGGTGCAAACTGGTAGGATCCCACCCCTGGTTAGTAGTCTGACATATCTTAAACCTTTCGAATAATACGTTCTTTTTTCAGGCATAGTACTACCCCCTATGTCATACTTGCATGTGTCTCCTATAATATTACTGATACACACACACACACACACACACACACACACAAACAAACAAATGTTCTTTTAAATTTCTTCCATTAGGTTGTAGTCCGACTTGGAGTGTCACTGGTGTGTAGTGTATAATCCCTGCAGTTTTCTTGGCAAATCTTGGCTGGCTTGCCATTGTCTCCTTCCTAGGGCTGAAAAAAAGTGACTGGCCCAAAGTCACCCAGCTGACTTTATGCCTAAGGTGGGCCTAGCACTCACACCTCCCAGTTCCTAACCTGAGGGACTTAACCACTACAGCAAAGTAGCTGCCATTACTAAAATATTGGAATACATTGGAAAAGAACAGGATTAACAGAAAATCTACAGAAATTCAGAAAAGCCTATTCAATTTTTATAAAAATGTTCCGTGAAAATGTAAAATGGGACATTTTAAAATCTTTATTAACGAACAAGTGACTCTACGTCATTGACTACGCATCCATTTACATTTATTCTGTTGAGATAATTCAGATCATCAACCCTTTTAAAACTTCGACCTCATTCTGAGGCTTGCAAAAATTCTGGGTATATAATGAGATTCATCTGAGTGATACATCACCCAATGTGAGAACAGCGTCACTTTCCCTTAGCCTCAGCAAACATAGAAAGGGATGCAATTGCTGCTGAAGTCATTGGAATCACTGATGGTGCAGGCAAGCAACTCTCATTCAGCTGGAAAACCCTTAGATCAGCGGTGGTATTCAGCCAGTTTGCACCAGATCGGGCGAACCAGTAGCAAGAATTTGGGGTGGGTCACCGAACAGATAGTAAGTTCTGGCTGGCCACAACCCCCACCCGGTCACCCTCCCACCCGATCCTCGCTCACCCCACCCGCCTGCCCCTTATTCGCCTAAGGTATTTCTTTCTTTTTCCCCCCTCCCGATAATCAGCTGTACATAAGATAGCTGTGCCAGGACTCCCCTTGCTGAGGCCCAGGAAGGCAAAAAATGGAGGGAGGAGCTCAGCCCCCCCTCCAGTTTTTGCCTTCCAGAGCCCCAGAGGAGCCTTAGGGGAGCAAATACCCCCCCCCCCCAGCTCTTCTGAGGCCAGGAAGCTCCCAAAATGGAGCTTCGAGGGGTGCTGCCTGCCCCTCCCATGCTCTGTTCCTTTTCTTCCTGAGCCCCAGAGGAGCCTCAGGGGAGAAAAAACACCGCCCCAGAGGCTTCTCTGAGGCTAGGAAGCTCCAAAACGGAGCTTGGAGGGGTACTGCGTGCCCCTCCCATGCTCTGTCCCTTTTCTTCCTGAGCCCCAGAGGAGCCTTAGAGGAGCAAAAAGCGCCCCCCTCTCCCCGAGGCTTCTCTGAGGCTAAGAAGCTCCCCAAAACAGGTGGGATCTGCAAAAAAGCCACGCCCACCCAGTCACATGGCCACACCCACCAAGCCACGCCCACAGAACCGGTAGTAAACCGGTAGTTTTTGAATCCCACCACTACTCCTGATTATGAGTCATAGTTGTTTGGCAAGTTCAATTACTGTCATTCCAGTATTTTCAAGGTTGTATAAAAAAAATCTGGCATCAACTGAAGCTTCTATGTGCATGCATCAGTACTATTATATGGAAGAAGTTTGACCTTTTCCATATTTTCCTGCCCAAATTTCTATACTCTCCAAATTAGCTTGCATAATACCCTCCGATTAAGTGAGAAGATCTTTTGACATAGCACCCAATAATAAACCTGATTTACTGGAGAAATTTGTTCTTGTGTTTATTTTATAGCCTTTTTCAAAACAATTGAATGTTTTTTTTAATTATTATTCTATAATATCATTAGTGATTACGGGCTTTAAAATAATTTACATTTTACAGTTTGATTTCTGAATTTGTAATCTATTTCTCTTCTTTGTTGTTTTATGTATTATTGAGCAGTTTTGGCAAGTGCCCAGAGATGTACATTAATTGGTAATTAGAAAAACAAATCATATTAATGGGTAAAAAGTCTACACCCAACCCTTTGCACTACTTCAGAATTTCCACATCCTGAACCAACTTTATTCATGCATTACATATGCATATGGCAGGCACTCCCCAATATCATGTGTTTTTAATTACACTATTACTCAGTATCTGAATACTTCAGAAGAGAAACCACTGTTCAGGAACTGTTTCTCTTACACATCTGCAGATAATGCACAGAGGAGACTAGCTTAGATATGTGATGTCAGGGGCAAGATATACAGAGTATATAATTCTTTGCTCTTATTTTATTCGTTTCTGCTCTATATAAATATAGTATATAATTCTTTGCTCTTATTTTATTCGTTTCTGCTATAGTATATAATTCTTTGCTCTTATTTTATTCGTTTCTGCTGTATATAAATATGACATTACAAAAATTTAATGTCTTCTACACATTAGTCACACTACACACTGAATATTGCAGATACTACTTCCACAGGTTACCTATGGATCTTATGAATACAAAAGCCACCAACACAGAACCAAACAGAAATTGGCAACTTCAAGGAATGATCCATCCCTCTAGGACCCTTTTGATTTAGATCAGGGATGTCAAACTCACGGGGTGCTTAGATCTGGCCCACTGGAAACAGCAGCCTGGGCCACAGTGCCTCTGCCAGTAAAAACAGAGCTCTGTTTACTCTGGAAGAGGGTTACAGGAGGCCAGCACAGCCAAAAATGGAGCTCAGGAACCTGTTTTCGCTGGCAGAGTGCTTGGACCACCACAGGCGCCCCCGACATGAGTGACGTCAAGCTGGCCATGCCCCTTGCCCCCCCCCAAAACACAATTCTGATGTGTCCCTCAATAAAATTGAGTTTGACACCCCTGATTTAGATCATCCTGGACAACCGACTAAAAACTGCTACATCTCCTTGCTAATTACATTGCAAACGATGCCAGGAAAGAACACATCTTTTCAATTCAGGTTTCTATGAAAAAGCTCCAGGCATGCTCTTTCCATAAGTATTCTCAGATTAATTTCTTTTTCTTTTTTCATTTGTACCTTATCACTGTTGTCATCATGACATTCATTGGCAATATTTCATTAAAAGTATATAGCAAGACAGGATAAATTTGAAATGAAAGGAAGTCACAATTTGGATGAGTCTCATAATAAAGCACATGTTTGAAAGGAATATGAGAAAGTACAAGGAACTATCAATGAACAGGAAAAGAAAGTGGGAACGCATAGGACCGGTTGCCTAATCATCACACATTTTTTTGTAAACACTAGAAATAAAAAGGGTAAAGATTTTGATGACACTGCTGTTTTGAGAAAACCATTTCCAATTTCTTCCTTGATTTGTTGTCTTTTTAAATATAAATTCAAGCTGGTTGCCTCTCACTTCTCTTGTTCTGGCCCATTTTCCTCTCGTTTACTCTCAAGCTCCTCACTCTCCATATGTTCTCTCAGATCCACCCCTTCACTGCTCCCGTCATCTCCTGTTCCCACTCATGGCTCAATGGTTCCATTCATGTTGCCACTGGTTCTTGAAACCAACTCCCACTCCTTGCTTGGCAAATGTTTCCTCTTACCTTTCAATCTTGCCTAGTAATTTGCTTGCCATTAGTTTCTAGAGCAGAAATTCCTCATACTTTGTTTACTTGCAGTGCTTCCAAATATCTTACCCAAAGAGTTCTAATTACATCTGAAAATTCAATCCACGCTAAAAAGCTAAATTTAGCTTCTCCTCATCTTTTCAAAGCCCCAAATCTTAGAAGCCTTATTTTTGGTCACCATTAGGAAGAGGGGACTCAGTTCCAATCCTTGCTGGGCAGTCTATTGCGTCCAAACAAAGACAGTGCAGTTTTTTTTGTCAAGAATGGAAGAGTTAAAGAATTAAATAATATCCCCCTGGATCGGACCACAGTTTGAAGAAGTTGGAAATTGTTTCCCACTGTTAGAGTGGGTCAAATCAATTCGAAAGTGGCATATATAAATAAAATCAAGATATCCACCCCCTCGCTGTGATTTGTTGGAAACAATCTAATGACCTGTTTTGAACATATCCCAGACTGTATGACACAGCTCTAAGGACACCCCGCAACTTCAGTACTGAAATTCAGCAGGAAAATGACTGATTTTCAGCAGCAGATTTGGATCCACACTTCTTCTGTGAGGAAAAATGCTCTCATTCTCACTCTGATGCCCACCTATCTGCAGAGCAGAGCAGAAAATTGCTCATTTCTTTCAGGCCCATCTTTTCAGTTTATGCCATTATTGCACCATAAGGCTTTTAGCACCGTGCTAGGTTTTATTTATTTATTTGATTTGTCAATCGCTTACAAGATACAGGTATAAGAATAAACATAGTTTTGAATACATGAGATAGATATTTATAAGAAAATTAAAAAGAAACAATAGGACAGGGACGGTAGGCACGATTGGTGCGCTTATGCACGCCCCCTACAGACCTCTTAGGAAAGGGGTGAAGTCAATAGTAGACAGTCTAAGGTTAAAGTTTTTGGGGTTTGGGGAAGAAACCACAGAGTCAGGTAGAGTATTCCAAACGTCGACCACTCTGTTGCTGAAGTCGTATTTTCTGCAATCAAGTTTGGTGCGGTTAACCTTGAGTTTGTATCTATTGTGTGCTCTTGTATTGTTATGATTGAAGCTGAAGTATTCATTTGTAGGTAGGACATTGCAATGTATGATTTTATATACTATATTTAGATCAGACCGTAGGCGGCTTAGTTCTAGGATTTCTAGGTCTAGAGTTTCAAGTCTGGTGGCGTAAGGTATTCTGCAATGAGTAGAGTAGATGAGTGAAGAACTCTTCTTGTGAAATATTTCTGGACTTTCTCAATTGTGTTAATATCAGATACATGATATGGGTTCCAGACTGATGAGCTGTATTCAAGTATAGGTCTAGCAAATGTTTTGTATGCTCTAGTTAGTAGTGTGATATTACCAGAGAAGAAGCTACGTAGGATTAGATTAACAACTCTTAATGCCTTTTTGGCTATGTAGTTACAGTGGGCTCTAGCACTTAGATCATTAGAGATGAGTACTCCAAGGTCCTTGACAGAGTTTGGATCCTCAACAAGGTCTTGACTATTCAGCTTGTATTTTATTTTCTGATTTTTTTTGCCAATATGTAAGACAGAGCATTTATTTGTTGAGAGTTGAAGTTGCCATTTGATTGACCATTCTGATACATAGTCAAGGTTGAGAAGCTGAATTCCAGCTCTTGATCTAGAAGACAATGCCCACCCCAATATAACAATAAGCCTGTTCAGATCAACACTGGCTTACAGCGCCAAACATCCCTCCTTCCAAATCATTCTATAAATGTAAAGCTTTGCACTGGTGAAAGGTAGTCCAAGGAGCATCCTATACCCTTGAGCTGGCACAGCACTAAGTAACAATGGCTTAGTTGGCAGATCATTCTAAACCAAGAAAACCTAAACAAATTACTGAACTATCGGCAAACCTCAGTACTTTCTTTCTTAAGTGTCACTTTACACCTGCCCTTTTCAACTCAACAGTTCTGTATTTGACTTCCAACTTGGCCTTAACAAAAGATACAATATACCAGCATAATGCAAGATGGATGAAAAATCACTATGGGTAACCCTCACTTAACATCCTCAACTGAACTGGGAATTTTGATCCCAAGTCACTGTAGTTGCTAAGGGGGTCAACACCTGTCTTGAGTATATTTTACGACTATATTTACGATGGTCAAAAAACCAGTCATTGCAGTAGTTACATAAATCATGTGATTGTTAAGCAAATAAATCCATTCTCTCGAATAGGTGGTTTTTGCCACTTTCTGACAAAAAAAAAAATAGCAGAAACCAAAAAAAAGTTGCAAATCATAGTCACATAACCACAGGAACTGCAACCAGTTGTAAATGCCAGCCAGGTGTCAAGTGCCTGAAATCTGATACACACACATACACACACCTAGGGGGGACATGAGACAGTTGCAGCCGGAAATTTTGGACAATGCCTTTTGGGGGATTTACAAAGTAGGTTGGTAAAAGCTTTGAAGATTCTTTTCAAATGCCAAAGAATGATGAAAGCTTAAGTCCTGTGATGCTGTAGGAATGATTTAAAGGTCAATATTGAGTAGAGCAAAAAGAAAGAATATAAAGTTGCACTATTTGACCAGAGATAAGCTATTTGTCTGATATTTCTATTAACTCATGATGAACTATTTGCTGAACTAAGATTAAAATGTTGATTTATGGACTGCGTATGGATAAAAGTTAGGTTATGGAGAGAACAGTGTATTTTATGTGTAACATTAAAAAGGGTGAAAAGTTAATCGATCAGCTTATTCTCAGTGTGATGAAGGTTGGAAACTTCTTCTTTATTCTTATCTATGGTGCCTTTTTCTTTTCTTTTCTTTTTCCCTGAACCTTCTGAACTTTTTTTCTTCTAATTTAGCTTGTATTCTGTTAATTAAAAACTTCAATAAGACTATTTTTAAAAAGAAAAAAAATCCGCTCTTCTCATTAATTCAACTCATTCATAACAATATACTCATATATTCTATTTTGCACAACAAGGAATGCAGCCAATCAAGCCCCAATTATATATCCTTGCCCTACAAAAGTATTAATTATTCTTAACCTACACGTTTAGTTTCTTGTTAAATAAGAGAGCAAATTGTGGGAGGAGAAAAAATTACTTTAGAAGCAAACTATTGTTATGCTTTAAATGAACATTTAGTGCTACGAAGTATAGAACGATATAAAAGCAATGTTTTCCTGAAATGTAATTGTTCCAAGCAGTGGTCTGTACCGTTCTGCTTTCAATAACTCATGAAAAGCCAGTTCATTTGAGCAAAAGGATGATGGGAGACACTTTGGCTGCCAAGACACCAAATCTACAGTATGCCTGCCAAAAAGGATGCTGTTCTCATTTACACATTGTAGACAATGTCATGATCACAGGCATCCATAAGAGAGACTAATGATGAAGCATACATTGCACTGTCGTGACACGAACCACATAATTGACTTTCTATATATAATGTCATGGCACAAGAACAAAAAGACTGGAGTTTATGCTATGACATTCTGGCTCATTCCATCTTCTCATATTTTTGTACCTGATGTTTTTTTCTCCTAAAAAGACCTTTGATACTGTTTGTTCCCTTGTATCTCATTCCCTTCTTGAGTTACTAGTGGTTTATTTTTATTAGCAAATTTTCCTGCTAAAGGGATGGGCCTGCATAAAAAAAAAATAGTGACTATTTTGTTTTGAATTTTATTTAATCTGTTAAGAGCATGGAGAATCAGCTAAGAAGTCATGTGTGAGGGTTGTGTGTAGCAGCTTTAAAACGTGGAGACAAAAAATTACTGTAGCTTACTTTAGACTATTTCCCTTTTCCTGTGAGAGAATGCACCTCCTTCTATGTTTCCATTTGTGAAAAGATAGGAAATGGTCTCTCACCTTTAATCTGTACAATGGCCGTCCGAGATGAAGATAATCCCTTTATGTTATGGGCTTCACAGGAGAAAACTGTGCTTTGATTAATGCCTAGAAATCAGTCAAGAAAAAAGAATACTTAAAAAAACCAGAAAACAATCTAAATATTTAATAATCCTTTAGTATTTTACAGTTTCACACATGGCTCAGATTTTACCTATGCAGCTCAAAAGACTGAACTGAAGGCTGATCCCAAATTACGTGGCTGTTTTGTGTACATGTTGGTGTATTTATTATTTATTTATGGGTTATGGTCATCCAATTCCAAAAGAGTCTGGGTGGCATAAAAAAAACAAAAAACCTCAATAAAATAATTCAAACATAAACCTGCACAGACAGACTGGACTAAAATGACCTTAAAAAAAAACAACACAAATCACAACACGCCCCCCCAAAATACACCAATACACGAATCCCAGCCCTGGATCCAAAGCCAGGTTTTAATAGTTTTTTGGAAATCCAAAAGGGAGGGCACTGTACTTTTTGAGGGGGAGGGGAAGAAGGGAGACTGGCTGTTCCAGTGAAGTGAAGTGAATAAGCTGTTTCAAAGGCAAGCTTATAGCAGTCTCCAGGAAAGGGATCACAAACATAGTTTAATAAGTTACTGTTTCCTTTCTAAATTTTGCAAATTTAGTTTCACCAAGTGTGCACATGAATGATGACTATATATCTGGCAATATATGTTGGCTTTACTATTAGACTCCAGAAATAAAAGCTGCAGAATGAAAAGCTTTCAACTAGAAACACCACACTAGCTCTTCAGAGCCATTGTCTGCACACCCTGTGAAGAAAGACAAACTTCTGCCTTTCCTCTTCCTTTCGAAATTACGTTTTCATCTACATTTTGGCCGATTGTTATTCTTTATCTAGAGAGCAGAATATTGCATGCTCATGTAAAGGAAGTATTTTTTTTTCTATCCAGAATAGACCAAAATAGGAGCATGGTTAAAAAACAAAATCAGCTATGCTTTCAAATCAAAATGGAATTTCCACTTCATTTTGAGCTTGTAAAAATCCAAGTAATCATGCTTGAGCAATCTGAAACTTATTTAAAAGAAGTTTCATCTAATCCCATAAACAAATTTCCTGTAGTAGAAAAATCTTGTAAAATGATCCCTCCGTGTCATAGGTTGGTAGAATTGCTAGGTAATTTACAGGTAGACCTGTACATGTATATACAGTATGTATGTATACATTTATAGAGAGACAGCAGCTCTGATCACGCTTTGCTCGCATAAACATGAAGCCAAAAGCACCAGCCTGAAGATGGCGAATGGTACCTTGTTAAAACATCACCAAGATACCCTCAATCTTACATGGGAAAAGACCCGAACACGCCAAAACCTGCAGTATGTATGTATGTATGTATGTATGTATGTATGTATGTATGATAAATCAATTTAAAACTGCAGCTTAATAAAACATTAAAACAATGCAAATACTGTATCAACAAGATATCTAAAAAATACCAATAAGTGTTGGGAACAAACCCCATAAGAACTTAATAGAACAAAAACATCACATCTCACAGACCATCTAATCCCCAAACCCTGGAACATACCTGGGTCTTCAATGCTTTGAGAAAGGCCAGCAGGGTTAGAAACAATTTAACCTATGGTGTTCCATAGGGCAAGATTAGGGTTAGGGTTATGCCATTTTTTAGTTGAGGAGATCCAGAGTGTGCCCCTCCTGTCACACTGGGTGGGGCAAGTACAAACAATCAATCCCTTACATACTGTAACTCCCTTCCCCATCCTAACCATTAACCATGATTTACAAATTCTATTAGTAAAATTTGGAAAACCAAAACAACCTACATGACAGCTTAGTATTATATGTGAACAGATTACTATAATAAAGATCCCCAAGAACATGGGATGCCTACTGAACCCAGAAGCTGGGAAGTTCTAAGTCCAATGAGTCCAGGGCCAATAGCCTCGACCTTCAGTAAAGGGCCTTCTCTTCTTCAGAATAAATCACTGGAAAGAGGTTATCCAAATAGGATGTTTCTGATAAGTAACAATTAGCTTTACCGTTCCTACAATTATTTATGGTATAACAATGGGATGGAAGGCCAGCCAGCCAGAAAGGGAATGTTTCTTGGAATGTTTATTTTGTCCCTTAACGCACCCAATGATAAGAAGCAAGGCCTCTGACTGGAGCTTAATGAACAATTTCCCCCAGGCAAAAGCATTGACTCTGCTAGTATTGTTGACATCTTGCTGATTGGAAGCACAGAACTATTGTGACTAGGAGAATGTATTTTTAAGCTCCCTGTGGAAGATTTAGAGGAGCAATGAGATTCTGAATGAGTTTATAAATTTACTTTTCAATGTCCAATTTACCCCGCTGCACATATTTTTCATTTTGTTTTTGTAATTACTTGTGGTATTGCTTATGAAAGAAACACAACTGATACCACCAAGTTCCCGTTACTTAGAAAACTGGAAGTGGGGAGCTTTGAAGAAAATACATCTGTGAAAACTGGTCTCTGGGGTTTTTAATCTCATCATCAACGTGCCTTGTAGGACTCTTTTCAAAATATGCTTAAGTCTGAACTATAGATGAGGCTGCCTTTCAGGAAAGCATGGTGTTCTGTCAAAACTTGTCTGGAGCAATCTTTATGTTATCTTCACTAAAACTGAAGTTAACAAGCAGAAGTAGATCAAAAGGTGAATGAAGAGATGTCAACAAGTTTTAAAGCCTTCTTATGAAACCTCAAAGTTGCCTATTTTGCTGATCAAACAATGAAAACATTCTTGTTGCTCTTTCGTACAATACTCAGCATGTTCCCAATGTCTTCTAGGTATAAGGCAGATATAAACACAGAAAAGCCAGACTGTACCCTGAAAGGGTAATCAACTTTTTAATATAAATCAATTTAATCACTGAAAACATTGCCTCTTCCCACCCCACTTTCTTCCTGGTCTATTATTATTTCCTTTTAGCATTTCTGTGCTCTTCTCTGCTGAAGCCAGGGTTTTTTCTCTTTCTTATACACCTTTGTTCTTGTATGCCTAAGGAACTATAACTTTTTATAAGGTTTTACCAGATTCATCTGATCCTTTTCACTTCCTCCTTAGTGTTTGTGCAGAACGGGCATTAAATGAAACAGGACAGGTTAGGGCTTAGTTAAGGGCTTTCCAACCACATATATACCTATCTGAGGAAGCAATATTTCCTTTCAGTTTTAAGATAAATATCAACAAGAAATTCTCCTTTGCAGGTCCTTCCATTTTGTCTTAAATCTAGAATGTATTTTATTTGCTCCTAAACATAAGACAAATATTCACTACATATATATCTTTAAATTTGTCTTGAAAATCTCAAAGTTCCATCTTGGTGGTAATTGTTTAATCTCCCTAGTTGTAGATTCAAGCGTTTTCTTTCACCCACTACAAGCTGGTGCACATAGTAGGCTTTTGATATTTGATATAAAATAAAAACATTCATACAAGTAATTACAAACAAGAAACAAGAAACATCTTTCCAACAAAATACTGGGATTGGGGAGAGAGAAATGCATCTTTGTTTTTTACCAACTTGCCACTGAGAAATTTTAGAAACCCTTTTTGGCCTTAGGTGAATTCAATTGTATATTGGGTTCTCATTCGTTTTTTCTCTTTTTAACACACTTGAGACACAATTTTACATTGTGTCAGAAACTATTAGTGTTATTTATACCTTTGCCCCATTAGTCACCCTATTCCTTTATGAATAGTTTTTATTTATCATAGAAAGAAGACTTACCTGGCACATTTAGAATGGAGGGAGAGATGTCTGGATGTCCAAGCCTAGAATCACCCATCCACCAGACAATTGTCACTGGCTCAGGTGGTCCTACTGCAGCACAGGCCATCTGGAAAGGCCTACCAGGGATGACTGACTGGTCTTTTGGCTCAACAGTGAAATAGGGAACACCTTGAAGAATAAAATGGAAGACGTTTCCATTTTATGAACTGAAACAGATGCATTTAATTCTTTCTTAGCAATTTAGATGTAACACAAAACACTAACATCTCTTGCTCTCACAGAATATATTCATTTTGATATTTGTGGCCATTTTTGTCACTTTCTCTACAAAAAGAAGACTCCACTGTCATTTGCAAGATCAAACATGTCCTTGTATATTTTGTTACTGAAGGGATAAGTTGATCATTGAATGGGAGAAAGAAAGGAATAATTATTTTGATACATTGCCAGGTAATTTTTGAAACTATCCTAGCCTTTCTTGAAAATCTGGAATGTGACCTATTGACTGCTTGATAGGAAAATGGAATAGAGAGTGGATTTTACTATCTAATCCTTCTTTCAAACAATTAAAAGTGAAATTCCAACTGTTTTTGATTGAAGGAATCAAATAAATATGTTTTGCTGATGAAGGATTAGACTTTTCTCTTTTGTTGTATAAACTATATGATAAGCATTATTCATCGAAAACATTTTACTATGAGCTTAGATGCATATCCGAGAAATAATTAAAAGATACCAACATAACTAGAAGCATGCATCTTAAAAGCACTAAAATAACATGTGTCAAGTTTAGAAACTGTCAGAAATTATACTCCTATTTTGTATTCTGACTCTGAATACCTTTCTTTGGCTACATATTAAAAATGTATTCAGAATATAGCTGGCCCTTATTCTAAAGTAACAAAAAATAATAAAGTCTACAGTGAAGAAAAACAAATACATGTTTGCCCTATAGTGCTTTTCTTGATGCCTTAGTCTATGCTAGATGTTAGAGTAGCTAATTAATCCTAAGTGACTCATGATAACTGAAGGGGAGAAATGGTACCAATGTTGATATATTCATAATAAAACTACATTTATTATGAATGCCTGAGAGAAGATTAAAAATGTGCTTCAATGACAAATATAAACTTTTCTGCCAATCCAAACATTTCATACTCACCAAATACCTGAAAATGTATTTCACATATATTTCAAACTTTAACAGTTTCTTTTCAAAATAGCTTTGAGAAAAATGTAGTTTATATACAAAAAACACAGCTTCTCTCTTGTTTCAAAACACTTAGATATGAGTGGGCGTCCACCTAGCTTTTCCTGTTTGTCTTCAATGTACTCTTTAAGTTTATTTTCAAATATATTTTTATCCATAATTGACTGGTGCTCCCATAAATTATGTAACTTATTAATATATACTTTCTTGACATTTTGAATATGTTTGGATTTATTTTAAATTCTAACCACTTATTTGCATTTGAAGATAATAACTTTGGACAAACCCATCTACGTTTAGTAATTTTTGTGGGAAGAATGCATAATCTAAACTGCTCGAAATCACTGATACTTACCAGTATATAACTCTGACAGGATTATATCACAAACTGATATTTACACAATGGCAACACTCAGAAAAATAAGCCCCAACAGAGTCCTAACTATGCAGGAATGTTCATTCTTACTTTTAAGTCATTTGACCTCTGATTAGCTGCCTGATCTTAAACAAATATCCCAATCGCTTAAACATTTTCTAAGTGATATCTAAAAACAAGTTGACACAGCTTTTTTCAACTATATAAAATGCTTGCAATATCTTGTGGACATGATACTAAATCAGAGATGAATTTTTTTGATTGATCTCAATGTAACACTCAATATTCACTGAACTATATAGAGTAAGATACAGAAGGATAATTGTAACTAAACAGAGTAAATAGAATAGGATACAGAAGGATGTGGCAAAGTCCAAATCTCCTGGATAAACACAACTGACAATATGACTTTCCTCAGAACTGATTAGAACAGGAACTGCTCCATGGCCAATGAAAAAGGCCCTATCATCAAATGCTATGAGGTAGCATGATTATTATTATTATTACCTTTATTGTCAGAGTACAACATATGTACATTGAGATTGGCTGAGCCTCCCTTTGTGCATCTCCCCCTAACATAACTCACAATGAGGACAGAAGTCCCTAACCCAGTCCCAATCTTATTACGCCATGTGACCTTGTTGTATATCAGGGTTTGAATAAGCAAATCTAAACAATAGGTTAAGCAAGAAGAATGTGGGTGCATCAAGAGAAAAACATCACACCCAAAAAGTTTCTTTCCTCATACCTTACCCACTTCTCTCCTTTTTCTAATTTTTAAGCCACTAATTTCACTTTTAATTTAATACCTGGAAATCAGTGGCAGC